CTACAGTCAGCAGGTATAATATTATCTAGTGCCATCAGCCTGAGAGGGCTGGAAAAAAAAAAAGAAAAGTGTAATTTATGGGCAGCCTGAGGATTAACTATGCGCTGAGATTAGAAAGCCCTAAAGTAGCCTAAGTCATTCAGCCCTCCAATCCAGGTAGCAGCAGATGGGGAATGTGACAGGGTCTTAAAAACTGCTCAGTGCAAGGCTGTACTTGGCCTTCTGATCACTTAAGACTTTAAACACCAGAGCTGATGGCTATTTTTGGCATCAGCTAGCTAAACTGTGAGCACTTTACTTATTCATTTACAGATCTTACCAAATTCCTCTCCCAGAAAAACATTTCACAAAGGCTGATGTTTTTCTGCTTACAGGCAACATACCTTGCCTGTAAAAGCTGCAGGTTCTGCAGCATAAAAAATAAAGTGCTTAGCTGTTTCCAGTTCACTCTTGGATGCTTTTATCCTCAGCCCTCACCTCCTCCTGTTTCTAACCAGGTCTAATTGTTCACGCTGTTTGTTAAAACTCTTCCCTCCAAGCCTGCATTCCCTCTGCCTCTTTCCCAAGCAAGGGCTCTGGGAAGGGCTCTGTCTGGAGGCCTTTGTCACGCCAGCCCCTGCTTTAATTAGTCAATGCAAATTTCCAAATACCTACAGGCTTATTAGCAAGACAGCTCTCTCTCCAAAGCCTCTTTTTCCCTACTCGCACTGAGCAAGCCCATTCCCCATAAGATACTACATCCCTAATCAGTTTAAACTGCTGCCACTTCTCCAAGTCACAAAGAGAAGCTGTCAATGTGCATGGCTGAGTACCAGGCGAATTAGTCACGTGGCAGATGAAAGAGGAACCCACTAATCTTTCTGTTCACATGGTAGAGACACTTTCTGAAGAGGCTCAGACTCTTCCCTTGCTTCTACAGGCCTCAGTCCAGCTCAGCAAAATCTCTCTGACGAATTAGCCTCAATTCCTCCATTTTCAGTGGGGTTGGCAGCATTTCACAGGAGGTCTTTCACATCTGGCTGTTGCCACTGAAGGCATCTACTTCAGCACTGACACCCAGTAAGTACTTAGGGCTCTTTTTACCTCCAGCTCTGGCCTGCGCCCACTACCCATGACAAAAACGCACTGCAAGTCTCTGAACTACCATCAGAGAAATGGGTCATGATGCTGAAGGACTTAATATCTGGGGTTTGAAGACATTCCCAAATATCAACAGCTTGTGCTATTAGGCAAAAAACTAACTAGTGTACATTCTGGAATATGGCAAGAATGAAACCAAGGAGGTCCATGCAACAGAAGCAAATTGGTCACCCGGAGCCTTGCAGACAGGTTTTCAGCAAGGCTTTCAAGAACCCAGCACCCACTGCAGCACAGCTGGGGAGTTCTCCTCACAAGAAAGTCCGCCTGTCTTCACCCTCCGCAGTGTCACAGTTAATTAGCACCAACTCTATCCCTTCAGCTTGGGAGGTAAAGTCACAAATGTCGCATGCACAGGCGAGGCTGAAACACAAACACATCTCAAGCATCACAGGAAAGTTTTTTTTGGCACAGGAAAGGGGAGCCAGGTGCACGGATGTGTTTGCTCCGTCGCACAGCTGGAGGCAAGAACAGAGGCAAATGTAGCAACGAGAATCATTACACTGATTCAGCACACTACAGCAGCTCAGAGGGATTTTCACAAAGACAATAAATGGGAGATTAAGGTCAACCAGCCCCCTCCAGTTAGAGATCAGAAAACCTTAACAGATTTACTCAAAGTTGCACACAATTCTAGAAAGCTGCTGTATCCATCTCTAGGTCACCCTCTGCTCTGCAACAGCCTGACTCGCTCTTTACTCACCCACCTCCTTCCCTGCGGTCACCTTTCTCCCTCTCTAACAGGCCCACTTTGCAGGCAGGCAGTCTCTCTACTAAATCTAAATTTTTTCAGCCACTCTGCCATCATGGCACCAGAAAACTGCTTCTGGCAGTCCTCAATCACCAGGATGCTCTAAAACCACCTTTGTTCCTCTCGTGTATCATCAAGTTGTAGAGGGCCACCAGTGGATATGGGAGCACAGCCTGGAGGTGTGCTGGGGTAACACATACAGAGATTGGTCTTTCAAACAACAGATCTATGGGTAAAGAACTGGACAACAGAGAGGATTTTTCAAATGGGAAAGATCTACAGCAGGAAGTAATGAACCTGAGACAAATGTATCCCAGTGTGGCAATCAGTTTCAAACCCCTGCAATGACATGTGAAGTAATTCAAGACCATCCTTTTTTTTACTTTTTTCTCTCCCTGAGCAAATCTCATGTTGCCTTGTCTTTGCCTGCCAGCACCATGCCACAGCAGCCATGCACCTTCCACCCTGAGTCACCACTGCTGTTCAAACACCGGCTCATGATTAGGAAATTAAAAATAGACCAGACAGGTGCCAAAGAACTAGCCAAACCTGCTGTGCCCACAAGCTCTCCTACATACACATGGTGACCAGGCAAGCCTGAACTGTCATGCCAGCAAATTTTTTGGCAACTGAGTCTCTAAAACCTGATAGTCTGAAATACCAAAATCAGAGCTTTGGAGAGACAACGCTTCAGTAAATGCTCCTAGAAGCAAACTATGACACTGTACTGCCGTTCTGACCCGGCGCAGGGATTGAGCAGCATGTGGCTGGCCTGAATCTTGATTAACTGGTTCCGGAGCAAGTACCTGAAACTGCTTTCCTCTCTCCTTTCTCCAGCTTGGCTTGCGGGGACTCACTGTAGACTCCGTGCTCCAAGGACTGCTCCGCCCTCTTCACTGCTGTGCCCTTGAAATTCATCTGCAGCTGGCTCGTGTACTTCTCGTGCTGCAGAGACATAAGCAACAGCTTGCAGGGTGGCCCGTGCTATACACGGCCATACGATACCCCAGGAACCTCGCACTCCCACCTCGCCTCACCGAAAGGACCGCAGAAGAGCAAACGCTCTGGCAACGCTTGGTAGCAAGAAGAAAATCCACCTGAGGGCTAGAGAACGGCAGAAACTCCAGCTGAAAGACTTTCAAATACCTCATTTGGAAAATATTAAGTGACAACGCTAGTCCATGAGAAGGGCATTGCAATTTAGCTCTGCAAAAGAGCTAATTAGGAAATCCTTTAAAGTGTAAACTGGGAGCAATCACGATTTCTGTCGTTTTCCATTCCAGATTCAAACCCTGAAATCCCCTTTGTTTTAAGGCATTATAAATTCTTTCAGAGCATTCATCTGCATTATCTCAAATTCTCAGTAAAGGCAATTTAAATATATTTTAAATATTTCCCTCCAAACTCTGTCCAGCTAGGAACATTACTATTCCTTAAAAAAGGCATCTTATTAACTTGGACATAGTAAATTATTTAATAAAAAGTGATTTTTTTTACATGTGGATATAATAACCATGTGACCCACCAAGATTCCCTCTCAGTAAATTCAGTGAATCATTTATCCAACCCTATTTGTTACACTTCTGACCCTCTCGTAGTCCTAAAAGTGGAAGCAGGGTTAAGAGAACAGCACGTGCTGGCCAAGTGATGCTTGGCACCAATAGCCTAATCCCTCAGCTGCACAAGGAGAATTTTCCTGCCTGGTGGGTCGCTCTTCTGCCTTAGATGAGAGGATGCTGGAGTATTTGGTACCTGATCCTGAACTCTGTTTAAAAAACACCTCGCTGTTAACAGCGAAAAGCATGGGAAACCTGGGAGCCTGAAGACCAAAATTAGGAATAAATAAGCAAACTTTAGCTGGAGGAAATGTGATGGTGTTGGCCTACATTATCACACTTGGAGAAAGGCATCCATGCTTTGTTTCTGGGAGAGAATAAATCATACTATTCTTTTACGAGAAGTTAATGCCTTGACTGTTCTTTAATACATTTCAGTTCTGGTAACCTTTGCTGGCAGCCTTGAAATTATAAGTAACTTCATCTAGATGTTAGCACAGGAATAAGAGATTGGGGCCGAGATAACTGGGAAACGTATCTCTCTCAAAGGAGGTTTCATTAAAGGAAAGCTTTGTTAAGTATCAACCCAAGGAGGGCCTAACATTGTGGATCTTTTCACTGTCTTCAAGTGTGCTTAAAAATTTCAAGCTAAATGACTATGAATGGACTAACTTTAAAAATAAACAAACAAAACAACAAAAAAATGCATTTGCAAACCCTTACCTTTAACGCTTCTTCCGGGACCTTGTGTTGAATTTGCTCCAGGACATACATGTTTGAATGTACAGAGCTCATTAAGGAAACAGCAGAGGAATTGGATTCATAATGAAATCTACCCCTCAGTCACTAAATAGAACAAGATCGTAAAACTAGACAAGCTTAAAATAAACAGGCCCTAAAAGTAGCCCCATTGCACACCACCACGGTCTTTGCTGCACACATTTTGCCGCACAGCCTGCGATCCTATCTGCTGGCCAGACCCAGCACTAAACCAAGAGCAGGGCAGGGGAAGCTCTGGGATGAGCAGCAGCTCCACAGGAGCCCAGGGAGCAACCTATGCCATGACTTAAGCCACTCCCTGCTCCTCTCCACACTGTTATCAGCTCCGTCCCCACAGTATCCTGGCCAATATCAGTGTCACAGGCTCAGGGCAAGGGAAGGGACCAGAGCAGCTCCCTGCAGAGACACGCTGCACTGCAGTGCTCTCTTGCCCTGACAAGGTCTATCAGTCACTACAGTTTCCTGGATTAAAAGTAGATCAGGCCATGAGCTGCTGTGACCTCTTAGGCATTTGGTTATGTCTGAGCATAGACAGTTGAGCAGAAAAAAGGAAAACATCTGGCAACGTCATCATGAATGACCCAATCAGGACTGCACAGAGCAAAGGGGGAAAAAAGAAACATGGAAAATGTTAAACTAAAAATAAACCAAGTGATAGTGGCATAGCAGGAGAACTCGACACAGTCTGCAAGCAAAACTGTAAATGGGAAGGAGACAAATGCTCTTATGCAAGACAGCGCAGCTGGCGCCAAGACACAGGAGATGCTGCCATCCACATGGCGCCGGGCAAGGTGGACACAGAAAGCACTTCTAAAAGAGTGGCACCAAAGAAGGGAAGAGATTATACCTTTATTCTCATAAAGATCCCGGCCCAAAACTCTTAATTCACATAAGTCTTCCTGTTGAGGACAATAAATTCTCCAATTCATAAATGCAATCATTCATTTCACACGAATGTCCATGTAAGGACTGCAGGACTAGACGCTTTACTCAGCTACTTAATGCTCAGAATTGTTTTCTATAAAAAGTTTAAACCTGTATCACAGCCATCAAAATCTACCCAAGCTCTAGGCACTGCCTTATGCCTTAGCTAAACTAGAATTTACAGCAAATCCTTACATATGTAGACTAGAAAACGCACAGCCAGGTACAATAGAAGAAAGTTGCAAAGCTGCAAAGTCAAGAAAATCTAGAACTCAGGTTGCCTGTGACTTCTGCATGCTTCATCGGGGGTGCACTGAGACCCATCCCTAAGGCAGCTCGTGCACATTTACCAGTCAGTAGTCAGTAAGGGGCTACTCAGCGTTTTTCCCTGATGTGTGCCTGAATCCTCCCCAGGTGCACCCTATTCAAACCCACCTTGGAAGGCAAATAATCAGTTTCCTTTCCAGCTGTTTTACTAATTAGCAACTCCCTCTCTTTTGGAAAAAAAAATAAAAGATATCACTGTGAAGATAAGATCTGTGTTTTTGCCTATGAAATGGGGAGAAACTAAGAAATCAAGACCAAAAATGTATTTTATACAATTTATTTATACACTTTTATACAGGGCTTAAAAAAGCTTCTTTCCCAGAGGACCCTGAATTACTCACAGATCAGTAGAGGCATCACTATTTTCAACCGTGAGCACTCCAGCCCCATCACAGCTTGGACCTGACATACCCAGATCCCTACAGGAGTACAAAGCAAATTCACTCAACAAATTCCCTCTCCTCACTAGTTCAGCTCTGTCACACTTCCAGGAAGCTCGGGAACATTTCAAGGGCTACGGCATAGCCAAGCACACAGGGATTATCATGGAGACAACAAAAGGTACAAAAATGCGGCCTTGGGGTCAAGGATGCACAAGAGTTTTCCAAGAAATAACAGATTTCCTCCACCTCCTCCCCTCCCATAGTAAAATTTATTCCCTGATATCTAGGCTGCTTTAAGGGAAGTTTCCCACAAAATAAAAGAAGAAACCTAGGTCAGACACTATTTCTAAATTCAAATGTTTGGCAGATGAAACTGTTACTCTGAAAATGATGATGTTGAGCAAGGCAGCTCTTCTTACCACTGTTGATAAATAGGCTCAGGAAGGCATTTCAACATATATGCTTACAGCCAGTCATATGATCACACTAGGTTGAAATGGGGTGAAGGTAAAGGTATTTTAGCAGACTCTAGCAGTATTTGTAATTTTTTAAACCAAAGCAGTAACAGTAGCATGGCCTCCTCCTGGTAGAGGTCAAATTTGCTATTGCTAAACAAGAGTTGCTACTGCTCTTGCATTTTGTGGCAGAAGCAGTTTGCAAGATTCAGCTTTAATTAATGAAAAGCCAAGGGTCTGACTCGTAGCCCCAAAGCAAGATGTTTAATGATGAAGAACTGTGTGTTCAAATCATCTGCAAGCAAGCATTTGGGTGAACTGATTAAAAAATATCATCACATGATAAAAATACAAAGATAGGATATTAGTGTTATAAGTTTAAAACATATTTTCTCCCTCTGGTGCAAGCTACAGTTGCCACTCAGGAGTCAAAATAAACACCCTTAGTCCTTCACCGCAATTAGCACTTAACTCTTCAGGCAGCACAAAGCCCAAACCAAAGACTGTGTCTCACTGCATCCCCAAACAAGAAGGATATCGTAGCCGAAGCGGATGACATCGTTCAGTTTTAGGGTGATGTACTTCTGGTCAGGAATCCTCACGTCATTCACGAACGTCTGCAAGGAAGAAGCACAGAAATGGTTTTGACGGAGCGCATCAAGCAGAGGGTCAGGTCTGCATAAGCACCTGGAATACACCTGTGGCACCACGAGCTGCCCTGAGCAGAGCAACCTCAAGGGAGGTTCATCTTTCTACCACCTGCTAACTAAATTTTATTCCCCAATTTAAACAAGTAAATGAGGTGCCTGAAGTTAGGAACTTCAGATGCTCCTGGTTCTCCTCCTTCCTTCATAAACAGCAAGAACAGCATATGCTGTGGTGAAAGATAAGGCAACTCTTAATCCAGTTACTGCGCCCAGTCAAACAAGACAGGTGTCAGCCTCCAAGGCCTGGTACTTTAACAAGTAAGACCTTCCATGAAGGGGAACAACAAGTATTTGCAGTGGCATCACCATCATGTCCGAGGCCACATTATCCAAGACATCATATGCATCAGTACTGGAATAAAAACAAAGAATAGGCTCCTCACTCAAGGTTTCACATACCCATCTATTCTACGTCCCAGACAGTTCACTGAGACACAAAGAGAATGAATTATCCTTATAAAGGTGCAGGAAATAAACTTTAACTCTGCAAACAAAGTCCAGTCATCTCAAATGCTTGTGCTCCAAAGGGTGTCTGCTTAAGAGCAGGAGTTCTCAGAAGAACAGAGGAACAAAATGAGCACTTGTGGATAACTTTCACAAATAATCTTGTTTGCTTCTGCAACAACCCAGGACAAGTTAAAATAAACTGGGAACTCATGCAAAGAAATGTAAGAACGCTGATGGGCACTAGGCACCTAGCTGCACCCTGGGCAGGAGCAGGGCCACTGCAGACACCAGGAGCTATCATATCCTGCAGGATGGCACTCACAAAGTCTTACAGCCTGGGAACCCTCACAAGGGTTTTTGTAGTCTCAACACAGCTTTGAAGAACCAAAGTCACATTTCAGAATGAGTTAATACACTTTCATCACTGAGGCACACCTCTCCCCCCCTCTCCTCACCAAGTCAAACAGACACGACCAAGTATCAACAGCAAGAAAAAAATAAATACTAGAATGCGAGGCTAGAACCTCAGCAGTCGACAATGGCCCAGAGCTTCCTGGTAATTAATAGGCCTGTCTGCCAGCTCTGTAATTTCAGAATAAAAGCAATGACGTTGGTTAAAAGACAAAGATTTCCCATTGTTGAAAGTCTCCAAATAAAAGCACGTTTCTTTAATACAGAACACATTCAGTTTGGTCACAACAGTCTTCTCCAAGAGAAGTTTCTTTGACCAGCTCTAGAAGAGAGGCACTGCTGTAATTCCCTGTAATTCACTGTCCCTCATAGAAAAACTCTACTATTAAATGTTATAAATTTGCACTTGTTGGCCTCTGAAGAAAAAAATAGTAGTGATATGGGGCTTCGCTTTCTGAAAGCAGAATTTAAAGCTGCTATTTTGCCACCATGAGTTAATTCTATCACAGGCTTTGAACCAGGGATCCAGCTAAAGCTGAGATTTGTTATCAGAAACACTTATGATTTCAGAAGGCTCCCTGCCTTCAGCTATCTAGGCCAAGAAGGATTAACACTCCTTGCTGTTTTCAGATGCCAGCAATGGCACGAAGGTTGAGGTCTGCTTTACTCACAGTTTTTGCAAGTTTCTGGGTTAACCTATTTTTTCTGTGGTTGGGAGGGTGGTGGGCTTCTGCTTGTGAGCCAAAAACAGCAATCACAGAACAATCTTAACTGTGAAACACAGTCATGTAAATTCAGTCTACCCGAGCTTCAGAAGAGGAATAGCTTTGCTGCTATGAAGCAGTAGCAAAAAAATGGCAGGCTCATGATGCATTAAAAAAAAATGCCGAGCTCACATGGGCAGCCAAGCCCTCACTGACTTGCCTCAGACTGCATGAATCTGGACTGGAGCAAAGATGAAGATTCAGGCTCTCTTGGCTCCCTGTTCTGGGCTCTCATTATCCCTCAGTCTTAACGACAGATCAAACTTAAGAGAGGCAAGATAGCAATTTTTATAATCAAAAAAGGGTGGTATGAAATAGTTTTTCCCAAAGAAATTAAATGGCTCCGTATGCCATAAATCACTACAGCCTCTGACAACTGAGGTGCCAAAAGGTCATCCTGCTCACACTGAACAGCTGCTCAAAAATCTTCACCAGTTTAATGTAAGCACCCCCAAAATGAGTTTGCATTTATTTCCTCCCCTCTTATCCAAAATGCTCTTTGATTTTGTGAGCCCTGAAGGGGCTGGTAAGAACATCAGAAGGAAGGGGGGGAAGGGCAAAATAAAATATTCTTTTGCCAAAGCTTTTTCTTCTAAAATGAGATACTGCATGACCTCTTAGTGCAAATAATTGCATGTGTTCAGCCAATAGTTGAGGTGATCCCCAAAGTGCTAAGGGAGATGTTAGGAATGTGCAGGAGTGTGTGCACCTCCACCAGCCACGTTTGCTACTTACGCCATTTAAGCTCCCAAGATCCTTCACCCAGTGCTCATCCTTCTCCTTGTCGTAGTTGATTACAGCATGTTGTTTATCAACACTGCGGGACTGGGAGGAAAAGCAGAGAGAATGTGAGACTGGTCAGCCATAAGAGACAATTTAATCAAAGCAGATTTCGACATCCAACTAACTTGATACAGGGGGGAAGGGAAGGGGGAGAGGGAGAGAAGCACAAAGGATTAGACATTATTACTACTATAAATAACCAGAGGATAAACAGCGAATGCTTCCATGGTTGTTCTAAGCAGCCTGCTGAAGACAACACACTATTCACGTGAAAAATCAGTGAAAGCTGTCAAGACTATGCCAGGATTTCAATATAGTGCATCAAAACATACTGAAAACAAAACCAGTCACACTGAGAGCCTGGGGGGCAGGTTCTCAGCCAGCACAAACTGGAAGAACTCCATCTTTCACCAGCTTCAACTGGTGGCCTCAACACTGGAGACATTCCTATTTGGGATGATTTCTTCCTATTTTTCAAAGGGAAGGAGAAAACTGTTTCCTTAAGTTACAAGCCAAACTTATTCACAACAATGTATATTGTTTCCAGAACTATGTGCTGGAGTTGATTTAATTCTAGGATGTTTTCCAAGTTGGAGGAAGGTTACTAAACTCACAGTAAGAAAGCAAGCTACTCTAGCAAAATTCAAATTTAAAACCAGCTTTGAGAACACTGAACTGGACAGTGACTTGGTCCCACTGACTTTGTTGCAGTCCACACAAACCAAACACAGCTTTTATTCAAAGCAGAGAATGATGCTTCAAGGGGAAATACAGCTGAACTGTTTTCTGAAGGGAGCGTTAAAACAAAATCTCTTAATAGTTTGGAAATATGGCATAAGTGTTACAGCTATAAAAACAGCAAATCTTCGGACTCACTGTCCTTTTTTCTCTCTGGAAACTTGGCTGTTGCTGGAGCCATCTGCAACCAGTGACTGAAACCAGTCAATCCAAGTGAGTCCATCAAGATGTGTATTCATGTTGCAGAAACCTCCTGGGTATCTCAGGGAGGCTGAAAGGAAAAGCAGCTACCAAAGCAGGGAGACAAGCCAGATTCTGAACTAGCAAATTCTCCTCTTTCTGGACATCAACCAACCAGTTCTTGGGAGGGAAAAAAAAAGTCCCTCTCTTTCCAGAGTGTAACTCTGGTTTCACAACACCCCTCTCAGCGAGCGTTACCTACCTCCTCGTGGGCAGGCAGAGGCAAAGACTGTTTCGGGGGAATTCCTTGATGAATACAGAGGCTTTTTTCCTGACAAACTGTTACTATTTGCAGGAATTTCTTCTGCCCCTGCTGCTGTCAAGCACATTGACGACATCCCGACAACTGATAAAACATCAGCTCCTGCTTGCAGAGTACACGTCAACCCAGGAGATCTCTCCCCAGGTATGAATACGAAGCAAGCAAACACCGGGCCAGAAGACTCTCCTTGCACTTTGAGACGCTCCTCCTATCATCTACAACACGTCACCACATGTGGGGGCAGGAGGAGAGCAGACTGAGCGGGCCCAGCTGCATCAGCAGCACAGTTATCTGTGCACGGTTGACTTTACAAACAGTGGAGGTTCACACAAATCCCAGCTGCATAAATGAGTCAGGGCTCAAGGTCCTGTTGTCTGACACAAAAAATAAATGACTGACAACTGGCAGGGCAAATGAGGATGACACATTTGGGGACATCCCACTTAGCTTGGCTATAACCTCCCATCCCAACAGGCAGGCCCACATCTCGTGCACCTGCAGCGTGAAGCTGCTGCTTCTCTCCATAGTCCCTCAAACTCTGCAGGAAAGATGCAAGGGGGACTCCTACACTTCCCTGCCCAAGTCAGTCCACCAGAAACAGTCCTTTACATGATGCTGTTTCTAGGTCTTCATTGCCCAAACCAGACACGGATCACCACAGCCAAGCAGACAGGAATTCCAGGGCCTTGATGTTCTTCTACATAAAAACAGGAACAGGTCACCATAGGAATGAATTTATGTCATGATTTCCTATCTTCCAGCAGAGCTTCATATGTATTCAGATTCCACTTTGGAAGAATAAGTCAAAATGGTAAGCAAAATCATTCACAGCCTTGAAACTACCTCTCAGCATCTCTTTAAAGAGCAAACTGTTACACAGATAACAGTAAAATTTCGGGCTTTTGTGCAGAAGAGAAGATTTTTCTCAGTTTTGTTTATGTCAAAACAGAAAACTTCACAAGAACTGGCGAGAGGAGTTCCTAAGGGCTCATCTCCAAGGAAACCAAACTTAAAATAACTAAATTCGCACCTTGTTTATTTTGATGCAGTTATGCCAAAGGTCACTCTTGCTTGAGAATGGAGGTGCAGTCGCTTTGGTGTGACTTTCCTTTACCATCAGCTGCTCCTTCTCACACTGACAGCAAGAACCTCAAGGCTGATCGCTTGCCTGCGCTTGGAGAGGAGCGGAACGCCCCAATCCTGCTTCCAAGCAAAAGTCTCACTGATTTCCACACTGTGAGAGCACAAGCTAAGTCACTTCCACCCTGCTAAGTCACTTCAGACTAGCAGTTCACTGGTTTCTCATCCACAAACCCTTGGCCAACAGAAGGTGATTTAAGACACCCAAGTCCACGCATGTTATAGAGCTGTCTACAAATAAGGACTCCCCAGAGGTCTGCAGCTCCTCTGGAAAGGCTTCTGTGCAGCTTTAAGCTCAATAAGCTTCAATAAAGTTGACAATCAAAAACATAAGAGGACTCCCCAGTTTAAATAAATATTTGCACCGAACACTGAGCCTTGATCACACCGAGTCACAACCTCCAAAATAAAAGGCAAAAATGATTGATATATTTGGAAGGATGCAGGGTGGAGGGGAAAGAATGCCCTGTTCAAGTGAAAATTGTGAATTTCCAATGACAATGAAGTGCCTATACCCGAAAGTTAAGTAAGAAATAACTGGTACACCCTCTCACCTAATCTGTTTCTCTGGCAAAGCACTTGTGAGACAGAGAATCACTTGGATTCTGCTTGCAACCAAACAAAACTCAAGCTGCAGCACCTCGGGTGAAACCAAGGGCAAGGAAAGGAGGCAGGGAAAGCAGATCTCCTAAACACAAGTGATCTGCAGGCAAAAATTAAGGCTACACTCAGACAGCAGGAACGAGGGCAGAACGTAGCCTTCTCACCACGTCCCGATACTGGGCGGGTTATTGAATGGAAACACCTCCTCAGGAAAACAGTGTGTGCTTCTCTGGATAACAACATTTACACTTCTCTGAAAGAAAAATGTGGACAGTGATTTGACATCCAGGGCTTGCATTTCCAGACATACAAATCACTTCCTAATATAAGGCTGCCGTGCTTCTCCATCATACTATCTTCAATGCATCATGTTTTAAATACCTACTAGACAAAATGCACATGCTGCACGTATCTGAAAAGAGGTATTTTACTACCCTTTCCTTTAAGGCTACATTAAACAAGACGTATCTCCAAATCACAGATAGGAATTTTACTCCATGGGTAAAATCCTGTACCTAATACCAACATTTTGCATCAGTCTGCAATCAGACCTGCAACCAAGCAGCATTGTTATGATTCTTGAAAGTGCAAGCACCGGATCAGCACAAGCCTCCTGCTTAGCATGGAAACAGCAAAACAGCTTTAAGTAGACAGGAGTCTCCATGGAAGAAAATATCACACTGGCCACGCACGCTGCACAGAGCAGACGCTCCGTAGTCCCGTTTGGAGAAGGGGCTGACACGCAGGAGTTGGCACTGGGGACAAAAACACGAGCTGCAGAGATAGCAAGGAAAACCCACAGGGAAACAGGACCTGCTAGGGACGGCGGCAGGAGAAACAGCAAGGTGGCCTGTGTATCCCCAAAGGGGCAGGGGCAGACACAGCTCAGCTGTCTACGTAGACACAGATTCTGCTTTTTCCCCCCGTCGGAGCTCCCACGGGCACAAACCTACTGCTCAGGGCTGAGAGATTTGGAGCTCAGCCCTGCCAGGGCCGCGAGGCATCGTGGTGTTGGAGATAAAATAAACAAGGGAGAACAGCTTCCCTGTTCCTGACTGCAGTCTGTTGTGCGTGTCTGGCACTAGATAACTGCAGCATTCTGGTAGCAACGCGCAATAAACATTTGCTCAAATACTTTCCATAGTGAACAGGTTACATTTCTGCCAGTACTGAGCTCCGCACAAGTGTCCCAGTAAGGAAACAGAAGCCTCTCCCAGCGTCCCACTTTAGAAGGAAGACAGGCAAAGATATTCAGGAAATAAAAATAATTATAAAAACACCCCACACTCTCATGCTGGTCTAAAACATGCTTTTTGCTTCTCAGAAGCAAAATCCTGGATAATGTTTAACGACGGATGAACACTAGTTTTTCTCCTACCTTCACTATGCATTTAATATAGTTTTGTATATTGGTCACTTCAGTACTTTTCCATGATTTCAGTGACTGCTCTACCCAGCCACAGGCTGTGGCAAGGGAGACACCCCCGCAAAGGAGGGCTGACTGCTCCCAAGGGCACGTCTTGGTTTCTAAATTACTCTGCCAAAGCAGGCAAATGTGTCTTAGAAAGCGAAGCCACCCTCACTTCACAGCCTCCTGCCTCCAGCTCTGCTGCAGTCAAGACCACGGATTCACTGGATCTGTTGCAAGACCAGGGTCCAACTCAGGCAGATATAAGGCACTGAACAAAAGAAAAAGAAATCCCCCAGGAAAATGAAACTGTAATCCCCACAGCTTGGCAAGGGGATTTGGAGGTTGGCATAGTTCCCATAACAATTTAACCCTTTATTTTGAGGTAGAAGCAGTTTCTGCTTGCTGGCTCCCCTTCCCTGATACGGAGCACCATTCTCCCAACTCTTCTTTGACTTCAGGTGCCCAAGTGTCCACCTACTTCAGGCTGTGCCATTAACCACCACTTCCTGCTCTGCCTCCAGTAACCTACTCTCCTCCCAGGTTTGCCTGTCCTGTCTTCACAGGCCCTGCTGTGTCTCCAGCCTCCTAAAAAACACATTTCTTTAGACAGCTTAATCGTCCCATCAACTTCGCATTAACAGAAAACAA